TAATAATAATAAGGTCAAAAACAATAGGGCCTTCTGCTGTTTCACAGCACCCTAAACATACGCACCATTGCAAATTTGTCCATTATAAGTAGGACAGACCCAGTCATGGCACTCGCAGCGCGGACCGTAGAACTTTCCTGGCTCTTTAGCCTCACAGATACAGATGCCACAGTCACATTTGCCCCTTCCACTGCATATTTTGCCATCTGGTGTCCGGCAGCGACGTAGCAGTGACTCTGTGGACAGCCTGCACACACGGTCCACCTGGCTGAGGACAACACAAAAGGTCAACTGTTCAGTTATTTCTAAAACTTGAATGATGAGATTCAGGGGAAATATTCACATCTTTGACCAAACACAAATTAAAGGTAATCTCGTCTGTTTTACAAACAATGGACTAAAACCTGGTGTGTTAATAGCTTAGAGTCATTCCTATCACACCTATTGAGTGGTAAGATATTATGCAAGGTCTTCATTCAAAACCTTGGCGTGCAGCAAATTATTTTATTATGAGCATTTTTAATGTAGTTTTATTAAACTATTGTGTTACACTTTTGAGCTCTTCAGTTTCATCATTTCCATAGCTATCTTAAACAATCTGTTAGTGCTTAGATTATGTGTTGGTACGAAGCTCGCAAGGGGACATGGGGAGGATTTTTTTCCTTTTGCGGTCCTCTGCAGTACTATTATGTTACCTCGCAATACGTTTTGCGTTCCCTTGCAAATTCACAGTCTCACTATTAAGTGGGAGTCAGCCTACTACTTTAAATCAACTTTGGAATGAATATATCACAACCAAGCATGGAGGTATATGATATTGTGTGGCTACATAGAATTAAAATATCTGCATATTACACAGTCAGTTTCCCCAACTTGTTTCCTAACATCCTGTTTTTATAACCGGATATTTGATAACCAAWTTTTTTTTTCATCTGGTTGTCTCCTGGCATTCACTGTGGACGGCAAAGTAAGAATGTCATTGCTCTGGGAAACACATTTCATCTGTGTCTATGATAATAAYACTTTGAATCGTTGAATCTTGAACCTTGAAAAATAAAAGTCTGATTCAAATTCAGTTAATACAAAACAATTTTTCGCAAAGGATTACAAAAAACGTTGCGAGGTGATACAAAAGTATACAGCGGTAATGCAATGGTATTGAGAGATAACACAAAAGTATTGTGTGGGTACGCCGTAGACTTGAATAAGAACACTAGACTGAGCTCCGCCCATACCGGTAGTGTCTATGACAACATGGAGGAGCAGAAACGAAGACCAAACAGGGCAACAGCTCACAGCCTCCAGAGAAACTAACAGATAAACAGCAGCTGAACTGGATCTGTTTCACAGATTATCGGTCATGTTTTCACAATAAATTAATAATTATGTTAGTTTCATTCAACAATCCTGTAAAACGGCAGATTTATACTAGAAAAAATATATAATTTATAAATAGCAATGATCTAAACCAGACCTGAAGTCAGCCTGTAACTTAGAATTTAGCTAGTTGAAAAATGATGACTTCAGCTAGTAATAAAGTATATTTATTATTTCTTACAGTCATAAAAATAAGAATAATAAATATTTACCAGTCACTTTAAAAAGTTCTCTGTATACCTGTTATAGGATGAAACTTGTCTCTATTAGCTAACCATTTTCTTAAGGCCAGGTTCCTCAGAAACCTAAAAATACTTACATTTATAATATTATTTTACACTCTGTATGTCTAAATATTAATCAGAGACATTTATAATATTATTTTACTCTCTGTAAGTCTAAATATTAATCAGATGACAAATCAGCTGTAATATTTAATAGTTTGTATTAAAGGGTAGCATGATTCAGCAGAGAGCTAAAATATATATGYTCCACAAGCTAATATCTGCTAACCAGTTCAATAAATAACAGTGATTACATGGACTTTATGAGATTATTTTAATTTTAAACTGTTACATTATGTTCTGCTCAGATCACATTGAGCTAAATAAGATCAAATCTGCTGACTTGTGTTGTGAAATGACACGTTTTTCTGTTTCTTCTGTTAATAAATCCATAACACAAACAGCTTTTCTGGCATTATTTAAAACATTGAATAGATTATATAAACTGTGAAATATTAATAATAATTGGGTTAATATTATTATTAATAGTTTTAATTATTTCTACATAGTCAGTCCTTTTTTCTGCTCTGTTGTCAACATGTACAGTAATGGGAAATCCAGACTCTTGACCGTTTTGTGTTAGCTGTTAGCTTCTCCAGCCGATCACACGGTCACCTGGTTTCTGMGCACTCCAKTAGTTTTATATAACCTCCTTGKGGTACCCAAAGGTTTTGTGAGGGAACGCTAAAGAAAAAAAAATGCCCCCATGTCTCTGGGTTCTGTATATTACGGATTAGTCTATACTACGACACAAAAGTGTATRTATTTCAATATCTGTAAAAGAGCAATTTTAGTATTCTTTAAAGTTAGTTGGCTGTGGCGGCCATCTTGAATTAACCACAAAAGGTTAAACAGTTGTAGTTGTATATTTAATATTTTCTTTTTGTTTTGTTTTGTTTTGCAAGTTTCGTTAAAACTTGTTTCATGGTTTTTAAACTATTTTTGCTGACAGTCAGACACACAAACACGCACACAGGCAAAAACATTAATGTCCACAGCAGCAGGTTAACTAAGGATGCTCACAGATAGATCTCACATCAGCTCAAATGAGGCACAATTACTGGGACAAGCAGAGTGGAGCTCATTTTAACACAACAAAACTGTTTATGTGTTAAGCCACTACTTAACCCACCTTTCAATTGTGAATCAAACAACCAGGAGTTACTTACACTTTATTTTTGGGAAACTCAGCACCACAAATAACTAAAATATCCCCATGCAAATCATTGCCTTTACACTCAGGCTTTAAKGAAAATACAACCTACTGTTCTTTTTTGCTTGAAGAAATAACTACAGTTTGTGCCCACCTGGTGTGCAGGCATGTGTACTGTACTCTGGCAATATCAGTGGTTTTTAAAGTTGATGACACACAACGAAGGGCTCAAATAGATTTAGTATACATGTATATCAAAACTGACCAATGCATACAATATTTTCTATACAGTAATTCACTGAGACATCAACATTTTYACCCCCTTCAATGATTTTGCAATCAGATTTTTATTACATGTTGCTGGTATGCATTTCTTTGCATGCAATGATGCTATACCTCCACTGGATTGAACAATGTAAACAAGYTTAGATTAGGCAATTTGGAATTACCTGAATGTGTATGATACCAAAACATGTAAAAAAAAAAAAAACCATGCCAACACTGAGACAATATAYAAATCTGACATGGAGAGGCCTCAGCTGTCCATTTGTAACATARCATAAATCCCTCTGTTCCCAAAACACCTCAGAGAGGATAACTGACTTTGAGAGTCGTTGCTGTTTAATCTAACAGTGAAACTGGTCAGTACTGTTAAGTCCTATTTCAAAACCACCACAGCTAGAATATGATACTTATTTTCAAACAGCTKTTAAGTAAAGCAGAACACTGAAACTGCAACAGAAACTAAAGTTGCAAAGACTTTTCATATTGTTATGTTTCCAATAACTTTCCACATCATTCTCCTCAAACATCTATCAACAGCCCTTTGCACCTCCTTCCTGTATTCTTCTCTCCAGGCTACCTCAGTTTAGGAAAAAAAAGCAAATAAACCTTGTGGAAACTCACCTCAGCGACTGTAACAAAGTGTCGTCAACGGCAGAGAGCAGAATCAGAACCAACGGCACAAGCATTGACTGCAGCAAAACCACAGTGTGCATGTTTGAATCCCACAGAAACCTGAAGTAAAGTAGCTTGAAGGAATTTCCAGTCTTTTGCCCCTTAAACAGACAAGACAGGAAGGGAGAGTGAGAGAGGAGAAGGAAAAAAAATGGAGAAAAGGAGAGACAGAACAGCAGGCTGGCCCGAACAGGCTCAGTCCCTCCAGAGTCCAACACTCCTACTTACCAGTGCCTTTGATTAGTCTGAACTCTCAGACACAGTCCTGGGCAGGAGCTGAAGCAGGAAAATCTACCAAAATAAAAACTTTAGTCACCACTTTGACATGTAATTAGAAGCAGACTTTTTTCTTTTTTTTCACCTTTCCCTCGTTGGTTTTCAAGATAATCTCTGTGATGTGGCAGTATTATTTCCAGTTCTTTTGATGGTTCTGTATTAAATGAGATTGAAAATCAATTCCCAGACTTTTCAAAGTAAAAGTGTTAATGAAGAAAATAGGGATTGCTAAATCACATTTGGTTTCTTATACAGACTGATTCTTTGTACATAAGTTAAATGAACATTAAAGCAGAATAAGACTATTTGCAGAAGCACAACACGCTCATAACACAGCAATGAAATGGCCAATATGTCCAGCTTACTTTRTGGGACCTATAATTTGTAACAAGTAGGCAAGCTTAAATACTAATTTATTATATTTTTAATGATTATCTAAATGGAATTTCCCGTGATTATTGTATAAATGAGCACATTCAAGTAGCATTAATGTTCAAAAATCACTGACAATTGTTTGATTACTGTTCAAATGATCTGATAGATCACTGATACCTTGTGGTAACGTTTCTGGCAGCGCGTCACTATAAGGTGCAGATGGAAATAAAAGTTAGACTATTTTCAAAATAATATATCACTGTCAATTTTTTTATAGTTTATTCACTATTTTATGTTGCAAAACTCATCAATAGGGCTGTCACGATTAGTAGATTAGTCGACGTCTAATCGATTATTAAAATAATCGATGACTGATTTAATAATCGATTAATCGTTTTTTTAATCGATTA